TGATGACCGCGCGGGAGAACGCCCGTACGAGTGATACTACCCCTGTGTATACCCTAAAACAGGAGATACATGAATATCATAAGGAGGTGCAAGCTTCGATGGATACGAAGACCATGACGACATTCGATGGAACCAACTACCAAGCATGGAGGATTGGCATTCTGGCGGACGCGGAGGTTATTGGCGCCACTGATATCCTTATGAAAAACCAACATGAACCGCCTGAAGAATATGACACCAACCAGTTGGATAAAGAGCGTTGGACAGTACATACAAAGGCCTTATACCATTGAATGTTGCAGTCCCTACTGGGACCTGTACATACAATGATTGGAGTATTAGAACCAGATAACGCGGCTGCCCTATGGCAGAAGATCAGCCAGGAATACACTGTCTCATTGGCAGAGGAACATATGAATGTCATGAAGGAGCTCTCAAACCTTGCTGTCAAGGATAATGACTATCTTGCCTACCAAAGGAGATTTCACTACCTGATTGCACAGCATAAGGAGTTAGCCACACAAGATGACAATTTTTATCACAATCTTTTCCTTATTGGCCTACATGAACATCAGAAGGTGTTTGTAAAGACCTGTCTTGATGACTTCTACGCAACTGGCCAAGATCCAATCATGAACATGGATATTGATGATTTGATGAAGCAGTTAATCAATCATACAAGCAAGACAAAAGAGTCTGATTGTCTGAAGACCTCTAAAGTGAACACTGCCACCATGAATGGTGATAACAAGCAGTCCAATACATTGACTATTGCCTCAAAATGCAATGTTTGTGACCGCGTAGGACATACAAATAAGACCTGCTGGTGCCAGCACCCAGAGTTAGCGACCAATCAATGAAGGGAAGTGAATAAGGATAAGATCGTCAAGAATACCAATGAGAATAGTGGCGGATGGAAACCGAAGAATAATAAGGGGAAAGGTAGATATAAGAATGACAAAAACAATGAGAAGATGCCAGATCTCCTTGCCTCTCAACCTAGTGCCAACACCACAATCGCACTATCCGCGTCATCCAAGATATCATCCAAACCATGGTATTTGGATACCTGCGCCAGCTTCAATATGAGCGGCGAGAAGCATTCGATGATACATACAGTGTCTTTTGAAGGTAATCTCAAAGTTAATACAGTCAACGGAGGACAGGGACAGGTTAAGGAAGTTGGGGATATCCTCCTAGAATCAGATGGGGGGGATATCATGGTAAGAGATGTCCATTGGATCCCAAATCTAACCATCAACCTGTTGTTGTTCACGAAGCTAGAAGACCAGGGTTTCCAATTTGAATTATCCCCATCTACCCTGTCTTATTTCATTATTTGAGCGCCAAACAGTGTCATATTTACCGCGATCCGAACGCCCCAAAGCTCCATATACAAGATTGTCGAATGAGAATCAGAAGTTGATGTCCACCATGCGTCCAAAGCGGTCAACTTCGCCGCCCAATCCTACATATACAGAGACGCGATGGTGACGGTCGATGAATCTGGTGATAAACTGAATAAGATATTGAAAACCCTCACGGAATGGCATGTTGACCTGGGTCATATTCATGTTGGGGTGATAATTGCTTTGGCAAAGAATCCACTATCAGGTGTATGAATCAAAGGCCCCAAATCAGGACTATTCTGTGACGCCTGTGTCAAAGCTGGAATGACACAAAAATACTCACAGACCCCAATGCCACGGGTGCTATGAGTGATGGAATGTGTGCATATCAATATTGCAGGCGGAGGCAAGACGCTCAATGAGATGAATGATCACCCTGTTGAATCCTGCCAGGGGATGAAATATTACATGCTAATCACCAATGATGCCACCTGTTATAGGTGGATCTACTTTTTGCATGCGAAGGACCAAGCTGTCGATTTTTACAGCCACTGGGTCCAATTCATGAAAAACCTCAGTTTCACCCCGCCTGCGTACATGAGAATGGATATTGATGGCGTATTCCATTCCAAAAAGATGTCTACAATTATGACCAGTCAGGGGATGATTTGGGAGCCTACAATCCTCCATTCCCCCCACCAAGACAGCGTATCAGAGTGTGGCATTCATACAATCATGGCGCGTGCCAGGGCAGTCCTTATAGGAAAGGATATCCCTAAGAAGTTCTGGGTGGATATTTTGGAAACAGTAGTGTTGATCATGAACAACACACCTACTTCCACCATCTTGTATAATTTGAAATTTTGGCCTACAGATACTACAGATGAATCACAGCTCATATGCTGTCCTCATACAATCCTGTTCTCTGTGCTCCTAAACATCCTGCCAGAGGTTTTGCACTTCCGCGAGCTCGGATCGGATGTTTACACTCACCTCCACAGATCACAAAAACCCGCGGATAAGCTGTCTGCCAGGGCAGAATCATATAAGCTTATTGATTTTCACGGTAAATTGATTTTTCATTTGTGGAATCTCATGACAGACAAGCTTCTGATCACCAGTGATGTGATTTTCCCCTCAAAAGAGCATATGAATGAAACAAACATTGAAGAACTAGCGTCCAATCCTATGACCTACTTGGTTGAGGATGGTGAAGTTCCCGAAATCGAAGACACTGAATGGATAAGACCTGTGAAATCATTCACTACATACATCCCTTCTCCTATCACAGGTTCATTGCCAAAGACATACAAGGATGCCGTGAATTGACCAGGCGTAGGAGAATATTGGAAGAAATCAATGCAACATGAGATTGCAGATCTCGAATGACGGAAAACCTGGACTCTAATCCCAAGATCAGACATCCCCACAGATGAACCAGTGGCACCAGGCTGTTGGATCTTTGTCAAAAAAGATCGCCTGAACGACCCCAACGCCAATCCGGACGGGATATTACGAAAATCTCACTGGGTAGTGTGCGGTAATTGGTTGAAAAAGGGATCTCATGAAGAGACATACACCCCCGTGGTTAATGACACTATGAATCATATGATGTTCACAATCTCAGTGAAAAAAGGATGGACACTATGTCAAGTCAATATTGTGATGGTGTATCTTCATGACTGACTGGGATGAATGATCTATATGAGACAGCCCACTGGATTTGAAGCAGGAGCTCCACAGACATTGGTTTGTGCTGTGGAAGGATCTCTATATGGATTGAATCCAGCAGTGAAGATTTGATATGATTACTTGACAGCATTGTTGTGTGAGAATGGATTTGCTCCGTCCCTCTATGACCCCACCCTATGGTGGCATACGACCTGTAGGCACCTCTATATGACAATCTACATTGACAATCTTCACATAATGGCAGAAGAGCCTGCGGATGCTGATTGGTTAGTAGAAATGTTAGTGAGCAAGTTAGAGATCAAAGATCTCAAAGAGCCATCAAAATATTTGAGTATGGAGGTTGAACGTCACCAGGATGGCGGAATCAAATTGACACTGAAACAGTATATCAATCATTTAGTGCAAGATTTCCACCTGGAGGATGCTGTCACCATTTGTACACCAATGGAAGAAGGACTTCAAATTGATGACTCCTCTGTCTCTGAAAAAGAAGCTGGTTTTACAAAACAGTGTTATCAACATGGCGTTGGCTGCTTACAATATCTCACAGTCAAATTACATCTGGATATCACCCGTGCGGCATCCCTCCTAGCGCAGAAAAACACTGTTCCCACCCTCAAGGCGTGGAAAGCTCTACTCCATGTCGTATGCTATTTGAAAGGAATGAGTGATCTAGGCATCTCATACAAGGGGCCCAACAATCATGAGCACGTTCAATTCCCAAATGCTACATTTACACCCATTGGATATACAGATTCTGATTGGGCAGGACCCCTGAATGGTGATTGGAAATCTACATCAGATTTCATCTTCTTGCTAGCAGGTGCTCCAATTTCATGGCAATCTTCTAAGCAACCTTGCGTATCTTTGAGCTCTAACGAAGCTGAATACGTAGCGCTTAGTGAAGCCATACGCAAGGCTATGTGGATTCACAATATGATGTTGGATATGAGATTTATTACAAGGACCCCCTGCAGATTAGGATGGATAATAAGGGTTTGATTGATCTCACCACCATGGCAGCGATTACCACGCGCAGCAAGCATATCGACACTAGATTCCACTATTCCTGTACGCAATTGAATGAGGGGGTGATTTCAATTGACCACGTTCCTACGGAGGATATGGCGGCAGACGGGCTTACAAAACCCCTAGGCACAGTGGCATTTAAACATTTTATCAGTTTGCTAGGTCTTTCACAAGGAAAATAGTTCATTCTAGCAAAATCTTGTATGTAGCGTGTTTTGGTTGACATCTAGGATAGGATAGCTAGATTTGAATACGCGGAGGACATAATATCCCGCACGTTTGGTGCGTGGGGGGGTGTTGGGCGTGTGTTGCCCGGGCGGCCGCCCCGCCGCACGTGATATAGCGTATATTAGATAGCTAGCTAGGCCTCCCAATATGAGAGATTCAACCATCCCACAGTTTTTATCTCTTGCCAAGAGGGGAAAGTAATTACATATTGCCTGCACGTGATGCCCTTGTGGCTCACCAAATAATCCAAGTGGCGTTGACTGTGTACGCATTAGGAAAACCAAACTGTTACTCTTGTATATAGGAGAATATTTGGACAATATTTTCCCAACAATAGGTGAGGAAAATACGCACTTTTTGGGGACACTTCGAACAAGCTCACGGACGTGGAGTATTCCGTGTAGAGACACTCTGTATTTTGAAAATTGTGATGAAGAAAGGGTGAGCGAATATTGTGAAATTGAATATTGGAAAATATTGCAGTTTCCGGGAACAAGACACTGAAGAAGAAATGATTGGTTTTAGTTTTGGCTAGGAAACGATTGGAAAGTGCTCGAGAAGATAACAATAGCAATAAGGGCTTAAGACAAAAGAGGGAATAAAAAGTAAACAACCGATCAACTCGATCAGACAAGAAATGAGACAGCAAACAGAATCCAACTACAGAAAAGATCAAAAACCCGTCTTCAAGAGTCGCTAGATTCACGCCTGATCCCTCGAATAGACACCATTCCACTCTCGATTTCTCGGACGGCCCCGTCGTCGCTGCTGGGCGAACCTTCCGACGTTCACGAAGAGGTCGTGGTAGATGGGGAGTGTGTTTTCGCCCTCTTCTTTAGAATGGAGAAAAGGTGGTATGTGATTCGCGGTGGCCCAGGGGAAATCCCGATGAAGGGAAGTGTGTCTGGAGTAGTTGTGATGTAGATGTCGGATGAATTGGGTTTCCCATGAGAAAACGTCTAAAGAAAACGTCTAAAGTTGAAGTAGACGCAGAACACGGTCGAATACGGGCTCTCGAATCATGATGTCTGCACGTGTGAGGGTCCGCACAGTATTCCACGTATCCAATGTCTTGAGAGCCGAGACGTGCTGCTGGGTAAAAGAGGGAGCCTGTCGAATCATAAATTCCTGTGTAAATGATTTGATAGTTGTTTTGTCGGGGACTTCCAAAGTATCGACGTCCAGGAGGGGCATGCCAGTCTGGGTTTAAATAACGAATGGTGGGCGGGCGTTCTGGATGGTATTGCGCAGGTAGATTGTCCAAAAACTCGGGATCTAAACGGGGGAGTGGGGGTGGTAGAATCCAGCTTCTCTCGCGTCTTTCCCGCCGATGGCGGAAAGGGGACGACATGATATGGTATTTTCCAATATATCGGGTAGGAATGAATAGAGTAGTATCTCCTCTGAGCTTCATAGGTTCAGAGCGCTCCGCGAGTAGGGAACCCGATAGATATATAATGGAGCGTGGCGGCAGTAGAATTTAGCTTAGAGGAAAATTAAGTCTGACAAGACGGAAAGGGAAACTCCCTAGGAGGGAGAGGGAGGGGAGGTGTCATAATTCATTTTCCTGGGCATATTACAACGTGTTTTCCTGACAAGGAAAATGTTTGCACTGTGTGCCGTGACAATCAACCACGTATGTGCCTTCATGAGGCAAACTTTAGGGAAAGATGGAAAACATGGTTTATAGCAGACTGGGATTGTATAATTATATAGCACAATCTCTTCTGAAAGTCCATATAGACCACAAACAGCACCTTCGGCCCCCTCTATGATATAGGAAGCGGTTGAAAAGAAACAGCAAACAAGCTTTTCACTTTTAATGCATCATTCAGCCGCAGTGAGTTGGTTAGCGATGTTTGCATCTTGGTATACTGAGAACCAGGGGAAAGATAAACTTCGAAAGTATTCTAAGGATATAGATAGGACTATATGTATACTCTAGATCTCCCTGGAAGGACATACTCCGCGGTTATATAATAGACAAGCAGATCCATGGATAGAATGTTTGAAGTCGACCAGGAGCTACACAACACATCATTGGCTGAATGAAGACGGAGATGTCCATCAAACTGTTCGAAGATGCAAGTATGATACTGCCAAATACGAATGAGAAGTAGTTAGGAGTACCAGAATTGCCAAATAAAGAGAAATTTAGCCCGTTTGAGGTGAAATTCGTGACGATTGACGGATGTATGGTTGCTTTAAGTGAAGGTAAATATTTATTCGATACTGGAAGTGGGTGGCAACAAGGTGACAGTCGAGTGGCAATATAATTAGTAGAATTATCGATCAGTCATCCATCGACATCAGCAACCTTAACCGCTGAACGCGCATATAAAGAGCCCGGTATCTGGGACGAGAAATTTAGCCCTTTTACATATGATCCGGATGGACACGTACAGAGTACATGTACATACACGTATCTAGCCCTTGATCCCTGGTTGTATTTCTTTCATTTCTTTGGCGACAACTATCTTTCACGTCTTCTGGTTTCTTGAAGCATGTGGATTGACGAGATATGTAGCCAGCCCACCTACTGCGCCGACTTATAGAGGAACAACATGTAGGGAAAATTTTACTGGTCAAAGAAAGAAGAGCCGCCCTGGAGATATTATTTTCTTTCTCATCGTCACGCCCTCGGCAGAATCTCGCTGTAAACCGCTAAAGATTTGCAAGGCTATTATTAGGGAACGGATGAATCAATTAGGTCTAATACCGTCCCTGGCGTCCCAGTCTTGCTTAATGAAGGAGGCGCTGAGTGGCTATAGTGTGCATAGTGTACAAGGCTACTACCACCCCCCGCCGCTTATTGGCCTGGCGCGCCCTTTTTTTTTTTTTTTTGCCCACCCACTTAGGTTAAAGAAAGTGAAAACATAACCTTTCAACCTTCAACCTTCAACCTGCAACTCTCCAACACTCCACACCTCCGTCTCTTTCTTTGCAAATCTGCTTCGAATTCTGCCAGCCTTCCTGTCTTCCATTTCCTGTACCGTGTGCACCCAGTTGCCCACTCCCTCTAGCAAGCCCTTCCTCTTTCCGTATCTTCTATTCTATCCCCATTTCCTCTATTTTAACTCGTCGCCTGACATCTCACCTGCTCTTCTTTTTTTTTTTTTTTTTTTTTTTTAACCGTTACCGCGACAGCAACCAAGTGGAACACCCCTCCCCTAAATTGCCCTGTTACTGTCTATCAGTTTTTGTAGACATCTCGTGGATAACGAATATCTGAGAATTTAGCTAGCATGCCTTCACCACTTCCATCAAGCTTTGCCTCAGCGGCAGCTGGCAACGTCCATGATTCGTCTGGCTCAAGAAAAGACGGAACCGGAAGCGGGGAATGGTAAATGATCTCTCTTTGTTGATACATGCATTGATCTTGCTCCCTCTGACTAGAATTTTCCCGCGTTTTGTCGCATCTCTCTCCTATCATTGAAATTGGGACCGTCGTTTACCGCCATCTCGCCCACTGATTTGTGTGTTTTGTGTTTTGTCGTATTGGCATGCAAGCTAATTTGATATTCACCCTACTTTTGACCCACAGGTCTCGCAATCGTATGAATGGGGCTACTCAAACCTTCCGTCGCCCATCTCTTGCAGCGAACTTATCTCATACCCGGGATAACGCGCAGACCACGTCGTCATCCACCCCTACGCCTTCTGTTGCGGCATATATCCCTCCTCATCTTAATTCCAACTATCAGTCAGGTTCCCCGCGTACCGCCACATCGAGTGATAGCAGGTACTCCAAGGACCAACTTTTAAGTTTCTACAAGAGCCAGCAGGATTCGGGGAGCTGGGGAAAGCACATAACTGATTATTTCATGGCTGATTGGAACCCCCATGACGACACCGCCTCCACCGTTAATGGTAGTTGGAACAAACGGGAGGACATTAAAGATGGCCACGCCGGCCCCGAAGTTTGTTGGGATCATAGTGGACAGGCTCAGCCGTTGGCATTGACTGAAATGAACGATGAAGAAAAAAATGTATGTACAGGGCCTTTCAGGGGATCGTGTCGCTATAAGACTGACCAGCATTTTTGTTTCTATAGTTATTTTCTGGCTCTGTTAACTCCCCGTTAAAGCCCCCTCCCCAAGGTGGCTCAAAGGATAATTCAGGTGCTGGGGGGAACGCGGCTCGTAAATCGTCCGTCTCTCATTCCCAGTCTCATCTTGGATCCTTCAACACTTCCTCTCCAGGATCCGCACGTACCGCGCCACGGCGTCGTGGGACCGGTGATTCTTCGGTGAATCCAATATCTCCCACGGGAAATTCTCGTTTTTTAAGGGACGATACGAGCATATCCACTCCACCACCATCGCTGCTTCGTCGAAAGACCGATTTCCGCGAGTTAGAGACGAAAACGGAGGAGAAGGACATGGAAAACAATTCCCGTGATACAGGTCTTGATATAAGCTCTCCGTTTGGGACTCTAAAGCGCAGTATCACAGGCCCCGTTGGCACAACTTCAAGTGCTTCAGCCTCTCCGTGGTCCTCGTCCCACAACTCAGCTTTTTCTCCAATGGGTGCGTTTGGTAGCTTTTCTCTGGGGCCTATGAGCGGAACCTCAGGCAGTGGCGAGAAAAAGTCGGGTTTTGGTAGCCTACGTGGGGAAAGTCGATTTAAGGGTCTGTTGGCTAAAGAAAACTCTGAAGATGTCATGTCCAACGTTAAGGAAAAACCATCTCTTGCTGCTTTAGATCGTCTTCCCGAAACCGAGGATACTAGTCCGCAGGTGCAGCAGCAATCCTGGGGGGAGTCTATGAAAACACGCACGACTCGCAGTGAGACCAACCCTTTTGTCGATGAGCCACGGAGCGGGAGTGCAGCGCTTGGTGGCCAGGATTTGGATGCTCCTGCGACTGGAACTTCTACATCTGGAATTGACCAGTTTGGCCTGTCTTTTGGCATGACATCGAGCGGACCCAGTTTTCGAGACCTTGTAGGAAGCGAGCAAAACCAATCAGAGCAGACTCCCAATCATCATGTCCATGAGCCAATGAGTCCGACTAATACGAATCCTTACCAGAGCCCCCAGGGTGAGAGAGTTGATGCAGACGATATCGACACAGATGGTTCTGACATCCAACATACCCACTTGTCGGGCCTCAGTGATATACCAGAAGACCAGGGAATGGGTGGGTTTGGGTCTATTCGTCGAGGCGGATCAACAGTTGACCCCTCAGCTGGTGACCGCAGCCAAACATCAAGCGTTGGTCCGGGCCGTGGGTTTTCAAGCTTGACCGGCCTTGGCGGTCTACCATCTCTTGGATCTGCTGGTGGCTGGCCTACGAATGCGACAGCCGGTACTCCTACCCGAGAAAGATCTGGCTTTGCATCTGGGTTTGGTGATCCAATTTTTGGATCAATGGCAGATTTGCAATCCCCAAATCTTGCAACTCTTGGAGGGGGTGGCTTCTTTGGATCGCATACCAGTCTTCCTGGTGCTGCTCGTGCGAGCAAAATGGGATCCCTCTTTCCTCCAGCAATGCAGGACCAGATGCGTGGTGAACAACTGCGCCCTGATTCCACAGGAATTGAAGGTTCGATGAGGCAGCAAGTTGAGAATAGGAACCTCGCCAGTACCAGCCCCTTTGATACTGGAATATCGAGGAGGGACACTGAGCAGGTTACACGAGGTGGCATTTTCTCTCCGCTCGGTGGTCTTGATCTTGGAAGAGACGCATTTTTGTCTGGAGACAAACCCGGCTCTGTCAATCCGACCTCTACAGTTGCATCGTCCTATGCTCCTTTGGCCTCAGCCAGTGCTTCAAGTTCCATTCCACCCGCACAAGCGTCAGTTGAGGGTACTGGCCAGCCCACCCAGAGCGTTTCCAGTGCCAGTTCGTCGAGCACCCAACTTCCGGCAACCCAACAGCGACAAATGGTTATGCCAGATCGTATGCGCTGGATCTATCGCGACCCTCAAGGTAACACGCAAGGCCCGTGGTCTGGACTCGAAATGCACGATTGGTTCAAAGCAGGGTTCTTTACTGCAGAGCTCCAAGTGAAGAAGCTGGAAGATGCGGAGTACGAACCGTTAGCTCAACTTGTTCGACGTATCGGCAATTCCCGTGAGCCCTTCCTAGTACCACAGATTGGAGTTCCTCATGGCCCTCCCTCGACTCAACCTGGTCCCTGGGGTGCGTCGGCATCTCAAGCTGGAGTCGCGCAGCCACCTTTCCCCACCAGTTTTCCCAGTTTTGGCACAACTCTGACTGCCGATCAGCAAAACGCTCTGGAGAGAAGAAAGCAAGAAGAACAGTATTTGATGGCGAGACAGAAGGAACACCTTGCACAACAACAAGTTCTTATGAAACAGATGGCTATGCAAAATCCACCTCACACCACTATGCATTCCCAGCTTCAACATCATTCCAGCGCCCATAGCCTTCATAGCCAACCAAGTTATGGCAACATAACCTCCTCAGGAGGATACCAGCCATCTCCAATACAGGGGCCTATTCAACCACCCCAAGCAGTACCAGGCTACTTTGAACCCAATATGCGACAACCGAATGTGCCCAACGTGCCCCCTCAAATGCTTCCCCAAGATATGATGGCTGTCCAGGAGGAACTACCAAATTTTGTTGATCGTATGAACATCAATCGCCCATCTCAGTTTCCTTTCAGTGCCGGCCCATCATTCGGGGCAAGACCGCAAGAAAATGTTATGCCGTCCCAGCAAGTTGCATCCATGCTACAGGACAGAGTTCGTTTACAACAAGAACAAGAACAGTTCGAGAAAGCCAAAGGAGATTCTATTTTTGACCAGCAAGCTCGGGATGAGCGTCTGAGACAATTCCATGCGTTGAGACGTCAAACCGATGATGACATTGTTAAGAGAACTGATGGACTCCCCACGCATTCCCCAACCATTCCTCCTGGAGACGAATTTGAGCATACGGACGATGTTTCCAAACCTACTGCTCAAACCCAGCAGGAGCAATCGCAGCAAAGAGAGGCGGAACCCCTTTCACTATCTCAGCAGGTCCAAAAAGCCGCATCCGCTCAGCGACAGCAGCAACAACAGCAACAGCAACAGACGCAGCCTCCAGCCGTACAACCTGAGTCTCCTTGGGCGAAGGTCGATAATGGCATCCCGCAGCCATTTCCTCCTCCACAATCACAGTCTCCCCTCCCTGCTCCTGCAGCACAACGCAATCGACAGAACGTAGCGGATGCTTTAGCAGCCAGCTCCAGATCACAAAGCCAGACACCAATTGAGACTCCAACAACATCCATCGCACCCTGGGCGAAGGAAACTATTGAAGCACCAAAGGGCCCCTCATTGAAAGAAATTCAAGAAGCTGAAGCTCGTAAAGCTGCCAAATTGGAAGAGGCCGCAGCAGCCGCGCGACGTGCGCTCGCTGAACAGGAACGCGCGAACAAACCTCCCGCCCCCGCTCCAGGCTTGCCATCAACCGCCAACTGGGCGAGTAGTGGATCTCCCGCCACCCCACCATCCAGCACACCGTCAGCATGGGCGAAACCCATAGCCGGCAAATCGCACCCTGGAATCTCTTCCTCCGCGCCCAAAAAGACCCTAGCACAAATTCAAAAGGAAGAAGAGGCCAGAAAGCAACGTCTGGCTGCTGCGAATAATGCTCATACTATTACCACCGCACCCATGTCTGCTGCCGGTAAACGCTATGCAGATCTTGCTAGCAAGATCGCTCCTCCAACAGCGCCTTCGGGGGCATGGACCACAGTTGGAGCTGGTGGGAAGCCAAAACCGCCGCCCGCCGCACCTGCGGGACCAAGAGTTGTTCCTGTGGCTCCTGCGGCGAAGTCTAGACCAACAACTGTCCTTACCAGACCGTCTGCGCTCGTTTCTTCGCAAACTGCCAATGCGAATAAACCCACCGAAGAACTCATGAAATGGGCTAAGAACGCGTTGGGAAAGGGGTTGAACAGCTCCATAAATGGTAAGTTCACAGTCTGTTAAATCACCCAGCTTCCCTGAAATAACAATATGGGGAGTCAAAGTGCTAATATAACTGTAGTTGACGATTTCGTCCAACAACTGCTCCTCCTCCCTCCTGAGACCGAAATCATTTCCGATTCCGTCTATGCCAACTCACAAACGCTGGATGGGCGCCGGTTCGCGGAGGAATTTATTCGTCGACGCAAACTTGCTGATAAGGGTGTTGTCGATCCCGCCTCACTGAACGCTGGTAGCAACGGTTTTGGCACTACTTCCGACTCCAATGCTTCTGATGGGTGGAATGAGGTTGCTAAGAAGGGCCAGTCTGCTGCCCACCGCGAAGATACCAGCAATGCGCCGTTTAAGGTTGTGGCGGCTAAGAAGAAGGGGAAGAGGTAGATGATGTTGTAAACATTGGAAGGATGGTTTAGTTTTGCTTGGGGGATGTGGGAGGGGAAGTAGAGGGCTGCGTTAGTTGCCTGTGTCAAACTGCAGGAGAGCAATGTTGGATCTTACGGAAGAAGAGTTTGAGAAGTTTGCGTTTTGTTGATATGTTGGATTGATTTATGGTTCTATATGAATCTTATGCGTTTGAATCATTGTACAATTTCCACCCACCGTTCCCCTTTCATTCTTCAACTCATGGAAAGAAAATGGTGTTACCCTTTATTTATTTATTTATTTATTTTTACTCTTAATTTTCTGAACCTACGTGTCCAACTAGCTAACTTAACGACCCGATCTCTTGCTCTGGAAACATCACAGTGATCAAGGCTCCTATGATAATTTTAAACCCGCTTTTGTTTGGTTTAAATTATGCACTATGTACTCCGTATTTCCTTGGTTTTTGTTTACTTCGCCCCTGACTTTTGTCGAATTTACGCTGGCCATGTCTCCCTGTTTGTGTTTGTCTTTGGCGACATTATCCCCTCGATGCCTCCGCTGGGTTTCTTTTATTAAATCAAGATGCCGTGGATTTCTTAGCTATGGAGTAACTGATTGACTGTATATGCTGTTGCGTCTGACCTTTTATCAAGGGTCCCGCAGGTTTCTTTGCTTGTCTATTATCCTGTTGATTGGTATATGGAAATATTTCACCCTGTTACCTTCTGATAATTGTTGAATGTTCGAGTCTGACTCACTCTTGCTGAAATAAGTCCTTTTGGCTCCGTATATAAAGATTGGATTCTGCTCACTGGGCATATTACATCTCAGATATGAGTTGAGTTTCAGGCACCTTTTCATGATGAGACGTGTCATCAGAGCTCAACTAGTTCTTAAAGTAGTCAGATCAAGTAATTCAAACTGTAATGAGACAGCACTGAGACAGGACAATGCTGAGACAGGGTGTCAACAGCAACATCATGTAGAGTGGTCATAAGGGAAGCTGATTGGATGGGCTTGGCTAGTTAAGAAATCAGACAAGCATACGCCTATGAATAGAAGAGGTATCTAAGAATTAGAGGTACAAGTGGTTGTATAGAGAATTGTACGTGTATTTCAGTAACTCTGATATATTGGGAACAAATCACTGACCCTCTCTGGACAGTAGGTCAGATAGCTATCTATATAGGGCTTCTATCAGACTCCCCCTCTTCCTGGAATGTGATGAGATGCCGCCATACCCGATTAGAGGGAGTAGGGGAGTCAGTGGCGTAATTCTCATAATCATCTCGTATAAAGGCGGGGAACTATGAATAACTATCATTACAATGATATCATAAGGTGCAGAAGGGCAGTGGTGCCTTGGCTAGGTCCCGTGACCGTGACATCTCAATTATCATCATCAATGATAATAAGTGAATCTAACATTCGTAAGAATCTATGCGAGAACGGAGGGGAGGATGGTTGGGGAATTAAAGAATTGAATGCTGAGTGAATAGGTTAGGAAAATTGATGATACTTTGAATCGATCATCGGTTCGTTAGAGTTGAGGAAGGGCAGCCGCCCCACGGCACGTGATTAGTGTATGTAGATAAGTGTGGGATGGTTGGTCTTCCATTGGTGGGAGGACTGGCCAGCTAACTGATATACGCGTACATCACGTGAGGTTATGCGGCTACCGGGCGGTCATGCCAAACCATAAGTTAGTAAGCCTCTCATCCGAAAGAGAGAATTGAAACCATCCCACAGGTTACATATTTCTTGGATTCCCGCATGTACATCGAATGTGTACGATGCAATTTACGGGTTATACGTCAATTGATTCCTGCCAACAAGGAGGAAAGTTCAAAGGAACTTTTTCTTTCTCTTATCAATAAGTCTTTTTTTGTCTATTCATAGATTTATCTGAGAGAAGTGGAAGACACTCAGTGTGAATTGGTTAATGTAACCATAACTATAGTTACTTAGGGTTTACAGTTAGGTGTGACTGTCTTCATGGAGAAATTGAGTGATGTGAAACTAACTGATGTTTCTGAACAGTCGCAGCAGCAGCAACAATTGAAGGTGTTAAGAATCTCACCTTCATTTGTCTGCAACATATAGATATATAGATATACAGATATATCTTTGCAGAAGAATAATATTTCGACATGGGATTCGTCGAAGCATTAGAACAGACCCCATTTGGGCATTCAATGGCCAAACATTTCCTTTTCGATCCCAAATATAGGAATTTGAACCACGGTAAATCTACTACCTCTATTTCATCAGGTTTCTGCAGTTATTCTTTTGTGTTTATTCTGTTGCTGAACATGGAATTTCGAAAGTCTTGATTACATGCGCTCATTAGCCCCTATTATCATATTTAACGCCGTTGAAATCTTGCTGCTAGCAATTGACTCTGCTAACAACCATCCAAAGGATCATATGGATCTTTCCCCCGTGCTGTCCAAGTGGAGGCCCGGAAATTTCAGGATGAGCTCGAATCAAAACCGGATCTGTTCATCCGCTACCTGCAGTCCGAATATATCGACACTTCTAGAAAGGAGTTGGCAAGGTTGCTCAAAGTCCCTGTGAACGAAGTTGTCATTACCAAAAATGCCACAACGGGCGTGAACACGGTGCTTAGAAACTTTGTCTACGCACCAGGAGACGTCATTATTTACTTTAGCACTGTGTATGCCGCGTGCGAGAAACTCATCGCATCGTTGATGGAAACGACGCCTGTCCAAGCTCGAAAGGTTCCATACTCTTTCCCAACCACCCACGAGGAAATCGTGAAGGGGTTTGTTGAGGTGGTTAAGCAGGCGAAGGAGGAAGGGTTGAATGTTCGAGTGGCGCTATTTGATACCATCGTTAGCAACCCTGGCGTTCGGTTCCCATTTGAGCAACTTGTGGAGGAGTGCAGGAAAGAAGGTATTTTGAGCTGTGTAGACGGTGCGCATGGAATTGGTCATATTCCACTTGATTTGGGAAAGTTGGACGCTGATTTTTTCGTGAGCAACTGCCACAAGTATGCTTTCCCCTTTCTTATATCTCTTGCATAGGATGGTTTCTTTGGGGAAACGTAAAAAAACCATAGGCCTTATTACCACAATACCATATGCTAGGGCTCCAAAATTGACACTGTCTCCCAGATGGCTTTTCGTGCCCCGTGGCTGCGCAGTTTTCCACGTCCCTGTCCGCAACCAACACCTAATTCGCACAACGGTGCCCACTTCGCACGGCTTCGAACCCAAAAATATGGAGGTTGGCCTCCCGATTCCTAGACCGGCCTCGAAATCAGCTTTCGAATTCCAGTTTGATTTTGTCGCTACGAATGACGATTCCCCGTACTACTCCATTCCCGCAGCTATCAAGTTCCGCGAGCAGGTCTGCGGCGGGGAGGAAAAGATCATGGAGTATTGCCTCCAATTGGCACACGAGGGGGGAAATCTCGTGGCCCAAATACTCGGCACAGATGTGATGAGCGAGCCTGGCGTTGACCCCAAGGTGGCAGATGCCAGTAAGCTCCGGCAATGTGCTTTCGCAAACGTTCGTTTACCCCTTGCTGTTGATGATGGCAGTGGCAGACATGTTGAGAAGGAATCGCCGTATCCGGTCATCGATGGTAGAAATGCAATGGCTGTTGGTAAATGGATACAAGAGAAACTCATGTTTGAACACAACACTGCAGTGCCAACGTTCCCCCATGGTGGATGGATGTGGGCACGGCTGAGTGCGCAAGTTTATCTAGAGTTGGACGATTTTAAGTGGTTTGCGGGTGTTTTGAAGGAGCTGGCGGGAAAGGCGGGTAAGGGTGAGGCGTATTCTGAACTGGGTATTACGGATATATCGAAGAACATAAATGCGGTTCAGTTGAACGGAACCAGAAAGTGATATTTCACTGGTATTCTTGGTGTCCGCAGCCTTGTCTCTCTTCCAACCCAATCATCACTAATCTATACTAGAAGCATCATATTTTGTCTCTGGAAATCTAATGCTCTCTAAACAGACCCCCAATCGTCTTAAAAACCAACCAACCCTTGCAATGTATAATGGGAACTATTTTTGATACATGCAAATATCGCATTCTGCCAATACTGACAGCGAATCAAACTCCTGAACTCCCTTCCTAACCTCCACCACCTTCCCAAAAAGCTCCGTAACGTCCACCGCCCCTACAATATGATGCTTGCCACCAAATAACATAATGTGGTGCCCCTTAGACGTCGTCTCTAACTCTCCTTTGCTGCTCCTCATTTCTCTCCAGCACCTCATTTCTCGGACCGGCTTCAGCCAACCAACCCCTAACCTCCTCCTCGCCCAACCCCGCCCCCACCCCCGACCTTTCAAGCGTATCAAGACAGCTAATATCCTCCTCTCTCTCAAATTGATACAGTAACAGCACTTCGGAAAGTTTACTCTGTATCTGACCCCCCTTTTCCTCCCCCATAATGTGCAAGAGTGCATGCGCAAACCTTGAGCTACCCATGTACCCTCCGAACTTGAACTTGATATCCCGGGCCGTACCAACTCTCTTCAGGCGTGTTTGTGCTGCTTGTACCATTTTGGGCACCATTTTGCCGAGCATGCGATCTGTTTATTTCCCTCCCATATGTATAGAGTGTATGTATGGAGTGTGAGTGTTGTTTTAAAGAACCCCAGTGGTCAAATTGGAATGGTGGGGGATTAGGTTTGGCGGTTTCCACGAAATTTGAAACCGCGCGGATTTGAACCTCACCTTGCACCCAATATGCTTTGTTTCGGAGGATCTTGGTCTATGAAATATGGCTTCCATGCGAATTGAAATTCATCTTTGGAACCGCCTGGGTAGGTCTTCTGGTAGAGCGAAATGGCCTGTTGGAGGTCGCGGTATCCAATGAAGCATGTGCATCAGCTTTAGGCCCGCTCGGGACCGTGCCGGGTATGGGAGAAAACCTCACCCAAGGACATATAGCGTCTGAAATAATATCGATTGAAATTACCACCATTGTTGCAAGTGACTGCTACGCTTTCGGGAAGCCTGGTCTGTCTGTCAATGCTATTGCTCCGGAAAGTATCTTCTTTTGAATCAGCGTTCTGGAGACCTTTTTATTGTGAGATTAGATTGAGAGTTTGAGAACCTTTCACGCCCTTTTATATGTAAGTCCAGATACACGTAAAGTGCCATGGTCCAATTTGTTTTAGACTTGAAGAGAACTCTTGTCTGCTGTCTCTCTTGAATGATATAGGCAACCCCGTGGTTAATTTAGTTGCCTGGTAGACCAATTAACATCTCCCCTAGCATAATTATCCAATTTTGAAATTTGGGTGCCTAGCCAAAAATATGTGTATAAAATAAAAAGAAAAATTAAACACTTGCTCTACGGAGTCGGACCGTTCCCGTTCAATCCTCAGTGGCCCCCTACGTGGAAGCCTGTGTTCTCCTCTTGAGATCGCCCCGTTCCGCCCACCGCCCACAGGAACCGGAAACAATCAATTCTGGCGATATGGATGACCTTATGACCAGGGCATCAAGGAACGCCATAACCGATAATTGTTTTTCGGAATTTACCTTAGGGTTTCTTGATGAGTAGTTAACCTTTATGCCATGGAAAAATCCTCAGACAGCGGAATTACTGCAGCATCTCGAGCCCTTCAGGACCACTGTTAAAATCCGTGCCTAGGGCCAAGGCCAACTTATGGAGCGCATCCACGCGTGCGATGACTTTTGAATAACTAACCGGCAGATATTCCAGCTGGTAGTTAAAGAACGATTGTTTGATCATATTCTTCTCCTGCATTTGGTGACTGGGATCTGGGCGCTTTCATTGTCAATGGATATGGGCCCAGTACGACAACGACGTCGCTGTGGTCACTGCCTCATTCAAGGCGGCTCTCAAGGCTGAGAGGACATGTCAAAGAGAAACCCCTCATTACTACCGAGTTTTAACAACGGGCCAAATCTCCATAGGCGAATTCAAACACGAGGCGGAACAGACTTGATGATTGTTCATTGCTGAGAATGCGGGGTATCCTCAGGTTATGAATGAATTCTGACAAGCCGTGATGAAATCCACGGAATTCGCTCAAGAAAGCACCTGCACTCCGTCCTCCAATCAAGATATAGCTATGAACCTGTTAGCAGCTGCCGAGGCAGGTAGTTAACTACATGATAACTAGGTCGCCAATTTGTAGAAGGGCAAAGTTAACCACTCCGTCTCCTTATTCTTCCAATTGAACACGGGCATCCCAAAGATGACACGGCATGACCAACTCTGCCCTGCTGCTTTCCGGTAGAACTTGTTGCGGGATTGTGAATCGTGATTCTGTTCATTCACTTTGCTGTCGAGATTGGGTGGAATACGAGGAGGAAACGTTCGTTACTTTGGCTCAGCCGCAGCCACCTCCATCGTGGGCCAATGTGATGTTTTATCCCACCACGCATGTCCTTGGCGGCAAGGACATGCAAACATGTGTTTGATGATCGCCAGTTTGTCTCTTCGAGAGACCTTTATTATCCAAGGATGGCGAGCTTTCATGGTAAGCTACTTTTCTCTACGCTGAACGGATTGAATCTTGTCTTTCTCCAAATAACAATGATGGTGATGATGATGCTACGGACAATTTCTCATAGAAGCATAGCCTGAAAGATAACTGCTGAGCGCTCTTATATACTCCTCCCACCTCTCTGAAACGGTAACCGCGAATTTTTCTTTGACAGCTGCCTTTTTTGCTTCTGCGGAATTCAAAACGTCCAGCATGTTCCCTGACAAGGCTTCCAGCATGCCAGTCCGTGTGCTCTTTCTCGTTATTTTCTGTAGCACATTTGTATTGGCAAACGACGATCTCAATTTCTACGGTGGACATGGGCCGAACGTCATTTGTGTTTTCCCCTTGAGCGGGCCGTATAACCTCCTCCAACGGCTTCTCTTTTACACCCTTTTGATATTTGTCATAATTGCCCGTCGTCAAAAATGGTTGGTGTTGGGTGCTCTCGCCAGTACAATGTCATATAGTGGAGCGGCGGCCATCCACGGCATGCTGATGGTCAGTCCCGCCCGAAAATCTATAGACCTGGATGTCTACGGAGTATTTGCGATAACCTCTTCGGGTGCAATGCTCGCCGCCCCTATCTTGACTTGGTCGTCCACACTGATGTGTGCAGATAAAAGAAAACGATTGATCGTGATACTATGGGGGATTCTGTTGATGTTCGGTGCACTCTTTACGGCAGCGTGCATACACGTAAATGGAGCTGGTTTCATAACACCGGAATGCCTTTCGCGAAATGAAACCATTTCATTCAATGGCTCCCTCTTTCCTAGCCCTACTGGGGACTGTCTTTACACATGTCCTCCCGAAAGACGGCTTTTCCGCCCCAATAATGACGTTATTGCTTTTCCTAACCACACTAATCGCCCAAGGGATATCACCTCAGTTTTCCTTCCAGCAACACTTATTTACGTTTTCACTTGGATTGTTTTGGAGATAATACTTCGTACGGTGTTTCGGAATAAACCTATAGACCCACAGCTAGCCCCGGCAATGTCAGCAACAGAAGTAGTCGGAATGCGTCGGATTGGAACTTTTGTTCAAAATCGGCAGAATTCCGGCAAGCCGAAAGATCTGAATGTGTCGATACAAGCCATTTCTTCACCATCAGCAGGGGAATCATCAGCAGCATCAACATCCGCGTCATCTTGGTCACCAAAAAATCCTCAACTTCCGAAGCCATCATCTCGCTGGGCTCCATTCTGTAGAAATGCTCCTTTCTACTTCGCCGTTGCCCATTTTTCCGCTTTCATTGTTAATGTTGTCATGAGTGAATTTCGGATCAAAGACCTTCCGAGCAACGAACAACCCAAGGAAATCGGGCAATGGATTCCATGGGTCAGTGTTGCACTCGTCGTTTTCTCCCAGACACTCAATCATTATTTAAAAGTACGCCGGGGGCCGGAGGAAAAGGGGAGGTTCTCCCATCAAGATGAAGAGAAAGCGATGACATATGATCACTGGAAGTTTGGAATTTCGCCGCAGTCAAGAATACGGCAACAGCAACAGAGGAAAAGGGATGATCTGAAAGGGGTTGGTGAACATCTGGAGTCAATGATGTTTAAAAATGAGACAACTAACACAACAAGGAGGAACAGCTTTTAAAGGATTTATTTGAGTTTTTGTTTTGCCTGCTCAGTCTATATTTTATATTTATTTATACCTTGCAATCAATAGTACAGGTCTTATTGTGAGAAAAGTTTTCTGTAAAATTATCAAATTTCATGTTTAAAGCTCACTTAGAAGTAACAATGATTGATATCTCTGAGTTATATTGTTGTATTTTATAAAGTAAAAGTTTTGAAAAAAATTATATTTATAAAACTTCTATAAAAATAACTTTTTCAATAAATTATAACTTTTATTATATTAAATTAATAATAATTTCTATTAAAATAATAGATAATATAAAGATTAATCTATTTTATAAAGAGTTATATTTAATTTTATATTTTTTTTAATAAGATTTTTATTTTTTTTATTTAATATTTATTTTTTTATTTTTTTATTTTTTAAAAATTTTAAGCTTATATATTTAAATTTTTTCTTATTATAAGTATTTAATTTTTTTTAATAATATTATTAATTTTAATATATAGTTAGCTAATAAAAAATATACTTAAATTATATAATTTTTTAAATGTCAATAAATTTTCAGCAATTTATTTTACATGATGTTGAATGTTTAAAGTAATTGTATTGATAGTCTATCTCAGAGATGCTATATAATATTGTGTAGTATGTTAGTTCATAATACAAAGTCTAAACTTTAACATCTCCTCTCAGATTAACTACTATACAAACTAACTACTATTCTGCTCAAATTAATCATATTCATCTTCTCTGTCAATCTATCTTATCTTGCACTTGCTGTATTTATCAAATTCTTTTCTTATTTAACTTATAATCTGATTGACTTTTCAAAAGTTCTTTAATATTTAAAGAAATTATTGTAAAAAATACTTAAGTTGATTGACTTGCAAGTAGATTTTTCATATTTCTATATTTACTCTTATTTCTATTCTTAGTTATACTTCTATCTCTATTTTTTAATATCTCAATATACTTTTTATTATATTTCTGTCATTCAGTACTTGTGAGATTCAAATTCTTAAATCAGTAGTATTTGATAATATGTTTTATAATCTCATAGTAATAATATTAATATTTATTAAAACATTCAATAATAGTATTCATAACAGATAAGTTGAGATGAGTTATAATGATAGTAGTATAAATAGTCAACTAATTTATCAATTCATCAAGATTCAAATTCTGAATAGAGCTTTGCTTAATGATATAGAAATTATTCAGCTTTATTTTAATAAATTTCTATTGTCAGTCTCTCAGTTCTAGTATAAATAGATCATGATAGATATTCTTAGCTCAATTTTCATTTATAGATATAAGTGTGAAGATAGTTAAGATAAATGAACTAAGTGTTAAAAGGAAGTGCAAGAAGCTCTATAACTAAGATCATAAGAAAGTAGGTGTATAGGCACAGCTAGCACTACAGAGAAAAAAGAATAGCGATGGATGAAAATATATATATAGAATTGAATAGTAGCTAACCACTGAATCTATTGAAGGAACTTCAGAAATTCAAAGTATTTATATATATGAATGAGTAGCAATAGGTTTTATTTCTAATCTTCTATGAAATGGAAAATTAATAATATAATGATCTGATTCTCCATGAAGTACTGATTCTATTCTTCAGGATGTGAGGATATTAAGGTGGATAAACTAAGTGTCAAAAGGAAGCGTGAAAAGCTCTATAATTAAAATTGTAAAAGGGTAGGTATATAGGCGCTGCGAGCGCTATGGAGGGAAGAGGATAGTGATGGATGAAATGTAAGTGTAGAATTAAATAGTAGCTAACCACTGAATCTCTTGAAGGAACTTTGGGAATTCAGAATGTTTATATACATGAATGAGTAGCAATAGATTTTATCTCTAATTTTTCATAAAATGGGGAATTAACAATGCAGTGATTTGAATTTTCATGAAGTGCTGATTCTATCCTCCAGGAAGTGCTGATGTTAAAGGACTGATTTTTGAGAAGTGCTGATCTGTTCTGATCCTAAATGCTGAATTTTGAGATGATGCTGATCCTTTGATAGGTGCTGATTCTAAAGTGCTTTGATAAGCAATATGAAGATAAGTGCTTTAGTAAGTGAGTGTGGTAAGCAGTGTGAGGACAAGGAGCTAGTATAGAGAGCCTTGACATCACACAGGAAGTGCTGATTTCAAAGAACTGATTTTTGAAAAGTGCTGATCTGTGCTGATTCTGAGTGCTGAATCTTGAGATGATGTTGATCCTCTGAAAGATGTTGATTTTAAAGTGCTTTGATAAGCAGTGTGAGAAGGTAAACATTTTAGTAAGCAGTGTGATAAGCAGTGTGAGAGTAAGAAACTAGTATAAAGAGTTTTAACATCACAATAAGTTTTGTTTTTAGATTTTGAAAAATTGCAAGATAGATATGAAAACCATTATTTTTAAGTTATAAATCTTTTAATTTCTTAGTGATTTAAAGATATTCTTCTGCATAAGATATAGTGTAGTATTGAATAAAATTCTTTCATATAGTTACTGTAAGATAGAAATCTTTATTTCAGAGAGTTACATATAGTCACATTTATAAAAATTAAAGATTTTTATATAAAGAAGTTTATTTTTTTTGTTTTAAAACTCAATTTTCAGAGAAATTGTAATAGAAGATACTGTCTATTATTTATTGAGAATATTTTTTATTTGAATTAAATAAGCATCTACAAGAATAGAGCTTTTTTATTTCAAATAATTAACTTTATTAAGAATAATTGCATGCTTTTCTTTTAATTTAATTTTTACATCTTTATGAAATTTATTAACTTTATTCTTAATAGAATTCTTAATAGTATTTGATAAAGAATTTAAATTTTCTTCTAGTTTTTGTATAAGCATTTTTATCTGTTTGTTTTGTCTTTTTATGTATTTCATCATCATTCACATCATATTCATATTACTTTCATTTGTATTTATTTCATCTCTTTGATCAATTTCTTTTCTAGATCCAGGGATAGATGTATTGTATTCATCTCTATTCATGTTGTTACTTGCAGGGATATTTAATGATTCTACAGTTTATGTTCTTGAAGACATTTATTATTTTCTTTTGATTTAATTTTTTTTCTATGATCAAAACTTTCAAAAGAGTTACTTTTTATCAGGTCCTTGCTGCAATTCAGTAATGCAGTCCACATGAGATGTTTTATACCTCAGATAAAAGAAGAAGAAAAAGTAGTGTGTGGAAGACTCTTCCAAAAAAAAAGAACAAGCTATCCAAGCCATAACCTGTTGAATGTCTAAAGTGATTGTATTGGTAGCCTATCTCAGGGATGCTATATACTAATGTGCAGTGCGCTAGTCCATAATAGGAAGCCTAGGCTCCAACACATGAGATGCACATTGTTACGGCAGCAGCTGCTTGTAAAGTGGATTAAGATTGATCCGCTCCGCTCCGATCCCCAACCACATCACATTCTAATCTCTAGTTTAGTATTCTCGTCGCAGCTACCGAGGTAGATAGATGAATTGAAGCTTTTGTCTTGTTATCATCTTGACCCTAGACTGAGCCATGACATACATAATCTTCCAGCTACTAATTCCTGAGTGACTACACTTGTAATATATATCTATTGAGTTTAGAATGTAGATTAACTATGTAATATCAATAGAAAAAGCATTGAAATAATATTTTATATGATGCTCTCAATCGAAAGTATATTCTAGCTTACAGAATATGTCACATCAACGGTCAAAGTAAAATAAAGACAAATCATTTTTCAAATCAATTAAAGTGCAACATAAGCATTCATCTCTAGCCAAATGGATAACCAGTGTTGAAGAATGAATAACCCTTTCATTTACCATCCGTTCCCAAGAAAGAAATATATATACACCGAACACCATTCCGCCTTCCGATGGTCAAAGAACACCAAATACCCAGTTCAGCTGAAACACACGGAATAGGTAGAACGATGGGGGGGAAGAAAAGCCTAGGAACCATCGTGAAATCATCTCGAGAACATAATATAGAAAGAAATGATTATATCACCCTTGCATGGTTTGCCAGAAGTAGTTGGCGTAGAAAAACCGCGAGAATTTAGGATCGATATTGACAACGTGTACGTCCCCCTTGCGGCTATTCCGTATGATGGCTTTGTTGTAGTTGCCTGCCTCATCAGCTTCGACATCGATACCGAGTGAGCGGTAGATTTTGAGACGCAGACTGTAAAATATAGATGATGTGCGGATGGGCGCAAGCATTTTGTCAGTCTTTGCCAGAAGTCTATACTGTAGACAAAACCTAATAAAAAGGAAAAGGAAAAGGAAAAGGGAAAAGAAAAAGAAAAAATGAAATATAGAAAGACATACATAGTCGAATCACCCAACTCCCTCTCCCTTCTCGCCAACTCATCTCCCTCCAACCCCTGCTCATCCAACTCCGCCAATCTTGCCTTTAACATCTCCAACTCCCCCTCCAACCGCTCACTCTCAATCTCCAATTCAGATGCCGCCTTCGCAATGCGGAACTTCTTTGTATCCAGCTCTACGATGGACGCAGCATGGCGCGCGGGATCGTGCGAGGCGACATTTTCGGCGTGTTGTGCGTTTAAGGTGTTGAGGTTGCGGGCGAGTTTGCGGAGTGAGATTTCTGCTTCGCGTGTGCGTAGGTCGCGGGCTTGCTGGAGGGAGGAGAGGGAGTCGTTTATGCGGGTTAGGGCGAGTTTGTCGGGTTGGATGTTGAAGTTGCCGATTGTGTGTTGGATGAGCTGGTGGGAACATCAGTGGGAGTGTACATTTGGGGGAGGGGAAGGGAAGGGGAGACGAACTGTTGCGGGATCTTCTTCAAGAAGCATTTTGATAGAATTTGTGCATATCGTGGTTTCAAGCTTAAGGGTATATTTTGGTTTTTTGGTGAATTCCGTTGAAATCTATCATAGCTGCTATTGAAGAAAAGAAAAGCTGATGATTTGACTTGCGTTTGTTGACGTTTGGCTCGTTGCGGCAGTAACCTCGGAGTTGGACGCCACACATCTTGGCGCTTGTTTCGGCTGACGCAAACGCGCCACGGAAATCAGGTTGCCGGATTCTTTGGATATAGAAGACATTATTTTACTATTATTGAGCAGATACAAGTGCAGACACGGTAAGACCACCCACAACGGGCACTCTGTTCTCGTTAATATTCAAGTCCATTGTAAAGGCGTTCTGACGGCAAACAGGAAAACGGGATCATTCTATATATATATCTATGGGTTCAAATCTTCCATGTATGTTCCCCCTCATCCCACTTGCTGACCGTTACGTACTTGCTAATATCGTTATCCATCCAGATGCGGCGGATGCTGAAAGGTCAGTTTGTATATTCTAGCCTATTCCGGATTGGCACTTTTCAGGAGACCTTTTACAGAGTCCCATCAGAATCGTCTGTCTATTCGGGGGGAACGAAATGAAAAGAAAGAAAGCTGACGAGTATACTTCTAACCTAATAGTCCGCTAAAACCTGCAGAGCTGCAAGTCCTCCGAGCCCAGTACGAGAAAGAAGGAGAATATGTCGGCGTACAAACAAAATTCAATTATGCTTGGGTACTTACATCCCTTTCCCAAACACCCAGCGCTCCACCCCAGTTCTAGTCCCCGTTGCGCCCTTCAACTACTCAAGACACTCCTTTCCCTATTCATCAGATACATCATAACTAACCATCGCCTGCCGTTTCCCTTCTTCCAGGGCCTAATAAAATCCAACGTCCGCCACGAACAACAAGAAGGCGTCCGCCTCCTCTCCGAAATCTTTAAAACCGCCCGCGAACGACGTCGCGAATGTCTTTACTACCTCGCACTGGGCAACTACAAGCTAGGTAACTACGGCGAGGCGCGCAGATATAATGATCTCCTACTCGACCATGAGCCTGGGAATTTGCAGGCTGCTAGTTTAAGGACTTTGATAGACGATAAGGTTGCGAAGGAGGGGTTGGTTGGGGTTGCGATCTTGGGTGGTGTGGCGCTTGCTGCTGGTGTGGTGGGGGGATTAATTATGAAGGGGGCGAAGAGACGGTGAGGTGGGAGTCGAACAGGGCAAGAACAGGGAAGAGGGGCAGGAAACTCGTAAGGCTGGAAGGGAAATTTGGGATAATATGCCAGTTTATATCTTCCGTTATGTGCGTTGGGTCGCGGAGCACGGGACGGCTTATTCGCCGGTATGGTATCCCAGAGAGCATGGAGAACGATGGGGGTAGCGTTTGGGAGGCGTTTTAGATGAAAGGGGCGGTGGTTCTGTAGCCTTGATGGGCTGGGAATTCTTGATGATTGCCGCTAGCTGCCGATCCATTGCTCGATTCATTCCCCCCCTTTTTTTTACCTGACCAACGTCTTTTCATTTTATTTTTTATAAACATCTCTACTTGATTCGAATCACATATTTACATATATAGGATACATATAGTAATATTAGCATAGCGTTTGTTGTTTATGACGATACTTGGTTTGGGGTACCTGTATCTCATCCTGGCAGCTAACGGGGAACAAGGATTCCGTCAGCAGCGAGGTTGTAGGCAGGGTTTAGAAGAATACACTTGAAACAGGTTCTCTGTCTGTGTCTCATATTTCCCTCCCCCATAAGATTCACGAACAATACCTAGCGGGCCCTTAGGACACCAGCCACTAATCTTGAGAATCACGGTAGGACCTTGCTTAAAGTCAGAACTAGCCGTTTGGGGGCCCCAGGGGAAACGGCGGAATCCCGTGAAAAGATGGATAAAAGCATACAGGGTAGGCAGCCGGAGGGGCAAGGGAATGGACCAACCCATTGGAACAATCTGGGGCCCCATGGTACGTTCATTTCCCTGGCTTTGATGCATCGAGATGCCAAATAAGTGCTGCGGAATGCGCAAAGTCCAGCACTCTGTGGCGAGTTTTCATTTATTTAGCTTTACCGTAAAATGAAAAATGTTAGGAATAAAAAATAGGAAGGAATAAAACAACTCGGTTTAAGTTAGATCGCGTAAAACTATTTCCTCGGTGGCGGATCAAAGGTAAAGATCATATCAGCAATGCTCTCTGTCCTTTTGAAGCCGTGGTATGAGGTACGAACTATGAATGAGGTGATGAAGGGTAATAGTTACTGAGGTAGAAACCGTTGATTATTGGGTTTCAGCAGGATCACTAAGCAACCAGCCAACTTCAGAGCCAGGGCTAGAAAAACGTCATTGCCAGCAACCATCGTCATCTTCAACCGTCAACCTTCAACTTCGTCTTGGGTTCATCTTCTGAATGAACTCCGCCCGCCCGGACCAACAGTTGTCAGGACTCTCCAACATTTGTCTCCAACTTTCATCACTTTAACGATTCAAGTGTGCTCCCTGTTTTTGACCCCGTTTGTTCCTTTATACTTTATTTTCCAAGCCCCTTATGGTAACTAACCTGCTGCAACGAAACCTAAATACTCCGCCGAGCAAGTTTCTTCCATCGCCTATTTCACTCCATCTAAACACATCTTTGGTCTTTGAATGACATCTACCGGATGATACATATATGTAGTCGGTTTCTTATATATCACATCATAACCCAAAGCAAAAGCATACGTCTCACGACCTGGTCGACTTTGCCACATTCGCAATCGAACATCCGACGATCTATGACCGCACTCCCTTTCGCCCGGCAAATCAGGATTTATCTTCACAAGTATCAACTTCGACAGTGGACCTGACCAATACGTGATATTTTACCCCAGAGTCTCTGAAGTCCTTAAAACTCAGCCATGGCTGACACCACAAATTTTGAGAGGTTGTACTGCTACATGTGCGAGAGCACATGGACACGGGAAGCAGAAACGCCCCTACAGTGTCCAATATGCGAGTCCGATTTTGTCGAAATTGTGAGTATCTAGCTCTAATACTATTCAATCCATCCATTTACATAACTGGGAGGATAGGCAGTCGATGGCAGGGTTACTAACTAAATTATGACTACCAGTTAGAAGCAAATGACCCCCTACCAGAACCCACATCCGCCATAGAAGCCAATACTTTCTCCCGCCATCGACCTGATCGTACATCAGCTATTGGGTCAGGCGAGACGACATATCATCGCTACAGATCGGGTGATGGGAGATTTACGTTTACTCGAACTACTTTTAACTCGTCTGGGAGTGCTGCGCGGGGAAATCAAACCGAACATCAAATGCCCATTGGTGATCCCTTCGCAATCCTTCGTAACACTACTGCTCTTCTCCAAGCTCTATCAAGCTACCGTCCTAACCGGGAGAGACGAAGTCCTAGACCTAGGAGTTCACATTCACCAGTTCCCATGATTGCTGATGACCCCGTCAATACAGGTCTTGATATCACCGGGGAAGACAACGTATATAGGATTAGATGGAATTTGTCTCCACGAGACGCCAACAACCCGCAGACTGATGTCGATCCATTTGCACATTTGGAAGAGTGAGTTAATTTCTCTACCTGGGAATATACGATGCGTTTGTTGAAGTTTAGCTAATAAGGGTGCAATCCTTAGTGTACTTGGGCAATTCACACGGGAGCGTGGAAGGCTACAAAACGTTGGACCGACGGATGAGGTGGCAATCATGCGATCGTTCATGTCGACGCTCCTTGAAAGCATAGATCTGGGGACCGGGGGATTCAACGAAAACAGAGATCAACCTGCCACCCCACATCAGCTTGGGCTCCTTGGAACTCCAACTTTAAAGAAATTCTTGGAGGAGAAGGGAGAACTTGATAAATATGATGGGAAAGCCAGTTGCGCCATCTGTATGGAACATGTGGAGCTGGATTGCATCATAACGCAGTTACCCTGCGATCACTGGTTTCATACCTACTGTATTTCGCGTTGGTTGGATGAACACAATACTTGTCCGCACTGCCGACGAAGACTCACGCCTCAAGACTCAGAGCAACAGCGACGGCAGCAATCACGGCCTGGTTCCCGGCCTGGCTCTGGCACCAATTCCCCCGCCAGTGGAATTGGAAGTATGTTGGAACCCTACGTTATTCCAGACAGTTCCCCACACTCCACAAGATCGGGAAGCAGAAGTACCAGCAGAACACAACCGCCTTCACCTACGCATCGTGGCAGTGGCGGCTTACGATCTAGCCAACCCGAGGGACTCCTTCGGTCGCCTAGGAATGAGAGATCAGGTCACTCCGGCTCTGGTGGATTTTTGTGGAATTGGTTTGGTCACGGTTCGCATTAAAAGTGATGGAGATTTGTCTGGTCTTGATAGGACCCTTGCCAGATATGTTTTGAAATGTAAAGATCAATGGACAGTCATAACCAAAGTTCCGATTGTTACCGTTTTCGACTTTTGACTTGTTTCCCATCATTTTCCACTCCTCAGTCTTAAAATAGCTATTGACCATTACGTCTCACGTCATCCGTCTCCACCTCCGCTTCCGACCCGGCTATCATCGACCCACCCAATTAAATTAAGCCATCGATATGGGGATGACTTATACGGCAACCTTGTTGGCCTTCTATTCCAGACTACTGCAAGTCAAAAGCGGTCGTTGATCTTTCCTTTGCTTTTCTAGTACAGCGCAAGTGTTTTTTCGAGGCGGAGAATCTCTCTTGATAAAAACAACTTCCTCCAATTTTAGTTTTCGTCGATTCTCCGCGAAGAAATAAAGTTGGGTGTTTCTTGTCCTCCTGACTAGATGTTTTTCTTAATGATGGGGAACTCGTTGACTTTTTTTTCCTTCTCCCCTTCCTTTCACTTTGTTTTATCCCAAACCTTAATTTTGATCACGCAGTGTTTCTATACCCTCGTAATTCAGTATTTTCCTGGATCCCTTTCTTTCTCTTATATTTCACAATGGTTGGCTGATGCTGCTGGTGGCGGTTTAACAGCAACCCCATGATTGTTCCCTATAATATTCGCATTTTTGTATGCAGTGTACCGTGAAATAAAATTAAGTAATGCACATTTCCAACCCCTGCCCTTAATTTTGACTTTTACACTTTTGTTTTGAAAAACCAAAGGTGAACTCATGCGGTGAACTCATGCTAAACAGAGCCCATCCCCAGCCAAACTCGACTTGATCCCGAATCGCGCTCACCAAAACGCTCTGAGATGATAAGGTCGACTCCCAATTCGATACATTGCGCATCCATTCGGAGCCTAGTAATCACGCTTTTGAACGTCCATTCCCAGTCTCATCTCATTTTGTCTACATACCTCCGTATACTAACCTTCCTGAAGACGATGAACAGCAGCGGCAAACGTAGACTACACCTTCAGCCAAATCCGATGGACCTTGCTATCCCGAATTGAGATACGTATGTTTGTTATAGGGGACCAACGTATGCACTGACTGGATAGGGATGGGGATATCCTGGTTATTTCTGGCTTATATGTAGCAGAGTGATACTCATTCTCTATGCATTGTGTTGCCTTGGGCATGACCAGATCAGACATGAAGCAGTTCATGGGGCATGTGAGTTTGATGTTTCACCTGGGCAAGGTTTTCGCTATTCATGTGAGATTGCTCTTGAATTTCCAATGCTGGCGTATACGTGATGGAATACCTCATAATGAGGATGGAATTTCCTCGCTAACTTCTATGATTATGTTGGATTTCGCTGAAACAAGTAATATTGCTAGCTTACAAAATGCACAAAAGTCATGTGATGCCCAAACCCGTTAATTGGCTAGGGGAAATGCCCGTAGCAACGACGGGAACCTTTGTTTTGGAGAATCCCTTGGACTTGATTAATACAGCGAAATAAAAGATCTGCAGGTGAAAAGGAATGGTTTACATTGCTTGCCATTTAATAATAAATTGATCTTAATGAACTTTCTTCTTTTCTTTTTGAAGTCCCATTCAAGGACGCTTCCAGCTCTATTCTTGTTGTTTATCTCAACCATATATCTCTGTCTTGATATACCTCTGCTAGGCTCAACAAACAGGACAACCTCATCTAGGAAACAGGCCATCGCAACTCTTCAATCTAAAGAACTAGTTGTTGCAAGCCTCAAGGGAGGCGAAAGGACATGGATTACAGAGCATTTGTCAGATTGGCATGCCAGCATCTATGTCGTGGATGATGCGAATACAAAGTTGACCATTCCGGTAAATAAAGCAAGAGAATCAATGGTATATCTAACGTCAGTATATCGTTTATTTTCATGTTGGGTGCCACTGATCTTCCTGACACCAGAGTAATAGATATATTATCGATCACTATGACAAACTGCCAGATATCATGGTTTTCATGCATGGTGAACGTTATCAATGGCATAACGATGACCCGATTTACGGTATGTTCAACATCTCACCCCTCTAGCTCAAGTTCCATTCCTTTCAAGGACATTGACACCTGCATAAGTGTGCATTTCTGATATTTTCTAATGTACTATCAAGATGCAGTCCCAATCATACGATCTCTTCGCCTTCCCCATGTGTTCAGCGCTGGCTACGCTCCGCTCCGCTGCGCATGGATTCCCGGGTGTCCGGATGAATTGTATCCATTAAATCCCATAGAGAAGGGCCCCGAAGATCGCAGACTCACAGAAGCTGCCTACGCATCCGCATTTGAAACCATGCTACCAAATACCCCTGTCCCGTCGGTTGTCGGGGCCCCGTGCTCGTCTCAGTTCGCAGTGACACGCGACCAAGTAAGGAAGAGGTCGAAACTGGCCTATGAACGCATACGCCGCTGGGCCATGGAAACGGATCTTCCGGACCGCATTAGTGGGCGGATTCTGGAGTATATGTGGCATAGTATGTCATGGCTCTCTAGTTCCAGATTTTATTTTCCCCACCTTTTATATATCCACTCTGCATATAAACTTATTTATCCTACGTAGTCATTATGCAAATGCCAGCAGTGTATTGCCCACCAGCAGCGGAGTGCTACTGCATGACATTTGGTTTGTGCAACTTGACATGCAGTCGCATTACCAACTGCGAGAAGAGGTATATTCTACCGAAAGTTGTGACGGTGCCCAACGGCTGGCCGGAGGAAGGTGGAGGAAGAAATGGCTGGCCAGTCCCTGGCTGGAACGAATGAGATGTGACTCCCTTCTCCTTTACCATGTCCAGGAAATTTAATTTAGCATTCATTGGGCTTCCACAACGCATCCGAGATTGTCAGCAGCAGATTCTGGTTTGCAAGGCAGGTACCCTTAGGACTAGTGATTTGAAATTATATCAAGAGGATATTAATTTCAGGCGAGCGAGATATTCCTAACGCGTGAAAAAGCCCGGTGATCGTAAAAATGGACTGGATAGAAGGATGCACATCGCCCATAAACCTCATATCACATACCTGATACCATCCAGCTCTCGAACATCCGCCAACAGGTCGCGGCAATACTTTGAACTACGGATAAGTCACCCATGATATTCCTGAAAGCTAGATCCTGTGAAGTTCATTAGGAAGAGAGAAAAGTAATTTATCAATTTATACCATCGGGTACTTGGTATGTGGAATATGAAGAAACGAATGGACCTGCCGTATGGCATACCGCGACCAGGGAGAAAACTATTGCACTGGCTTTGTATGCATTTAACATTGTGTGATTTTTAATGCTGGGTTTGGATATAGATTTTTACTTTGAATAAGTACGGGGATGGAGGGGTTATACTAGCATAATGGCGGATCGTTGGATAGACGTGGGTTATTTATATGACGTGATTGAATTTGTCTGGATCTATTGCATTGTGGTTAGGAGGGAAAGCTTTGTTCGACTTCGGGAGCCAACCTTGGCTAGCAACTCAAACCGTTAATTATTGAAAGAAACGTCTATATATCGGCAGGGTTCATGCATTTGAGGCTGTCTGTACTTGTTCTATGCTGATTTGTGCTGGTTGTCAGCAGAGTCTGTGCTGCATGCAGAGCCTTGTATATGCTCCTTCTGCTGGAATAATTGCCAAATCCCCTTTTCTCTCAAAACAGAAATCGTACCATTCCCTCTTCTCGGTCCATATTCTCTTTCCTCATCTCCTTCATTAAGGTCAGTCCCCCTGGACTCTGACGCTCAACCACGCGATCTAGCTTATCTTTTCCAGTGACCATGAACCGCATGGCACATGGTGCGGCCTCTGGTTTTCCTTGCCCAGGAATACCTGAATATCCCAAATTCGACTGGTTCAATCCTGAACTTGGGAATGCCTCAACGTAATATCATTTACCTACTTTTCATAGATAGAAACCCCAGCGTTTCGCTGTGAACCATCGAAGTCGGATAAGCCATGCTTCGCTGTGGGTACGCGGTCTGAATATGGAGATTGATTGCGGATACGTCATCTCATCAACCAGCCATCAACTCATTCAGTCTTCTCACCAAGTCCCTTGATTTCCTCCCCGTTCCACGTCAAACACACTGTCTTATCAAACCCGCCATGCTCCTGCGCTTCAACTACATGCTTAACCTCAACCCCAAGCCCGCTCAAGCCCACATCCTCCGCACATTTATTCCACAGAACTTGCCTGACATGGCCATCCAATTCCGCGAAAATCCATACCAATGGATACCTACTCTTCAACAACGCAGTCCGCAGGCCCTTCGTAGACTCTCTCGAGCTAACCAACATGCCCAGTATGCCCAGACCACGCCATCCCACTGGGGCTCCTAAAAACGTCCCCTCCAGTTCCCGAATCACGTTTGGGCCGACTTTATTCTTCAGAGCTTTGCATTGCACTATGACGCGCAGTGGTTGTAAAGCTGAGTCGGGGAGATGCCAGGTGCCCACTAGATCTATACCGGAGTCTAGGCGGCCGCCTATGCGGGTCAGATCGAGAGCAAAGCGGCGTAGGCTTTCTCTGGTGGTGTACTCGTAGTGTGTACCTACGTATGTTGTACTTTTACGGTCGAGAGATGTTCTGGCTGCGTAGTCGAGGAATGAAGGGAGGTCATGGTGGTTAGAGGTCGGGGAGGGGGGAGGGATTGGCGGGCGGAGAGCTGAAGAGAGTAATCTGCGGGGACATTGAGGATGGATGCGGGGGACTAAGAGGGAAGATATCATCGAGAATACGCTGAGAGGATAAGGAAGACAATGGAACTCTTGAAATTGGTTGTTGCTTTAGTGTTTACCCTTATTTTTTGGGTATTTTTTTGGGGGGGGTTTTTTGCGGAGAGCTTCCAAGATCAGCACTGCGCCAAGCCAGATCATGACTTCGACATTAACTAATGAGTTAACTATCTCTATCGCAGCAGCACAACTGAACTTCAGCATCTTAACATCAACCCCACTACTAGTATACAACAGTAACATCTCCTACGTATATTTCCCATAAATCTAAAAATCATTAACCTCATTCCATTATTCATCCTACTTTGGTACACCTTAGCAACCACCTGCAACACTCAACACCGCATCAACACAGCTCCGCTCTGCTCTGCCGTCCGCTGTGCTACCCTGAGATGGCGGACATCCTCACACAACTACAAACATGTCTAGATCAAGTACATATGTCCCCGTCATCTAAATTGAAAGAACGCAAGATTAGAAATCCAAATCTAACAACCCGCATCTAGCTCGCAACCCAATTCTACGCAACCCTCTGCTATCTAACAACCTATCATGACCACTCCGCCGCAATCCGCCCCTCCAATATCCCCACCGCAATCCCACAACTGAAAAAGATCCCCAAAAATCCTCCTCCCAGCATCTCTGCCGCCACCGCCACGACAACAACAACAGGTGGAACTGCCTCCACTCCCCAACCACAACAGCAACCCAACACCCCTGTTGCTGAACAAGCACCACCAGCTCAACAACAGCAGTCACCCACAGAACCTACCCCAGACACCGCCGAGGTCTTCGCGCAGCGTCAGCGCGAGCTAGCACGCGATCTTATCATCAAGGAGCAACAGATTGAGTACCTTATCAGCGTGTTGCCAGGGGTGGGGAGTAGTGAGGCGGAGCAGGAAGAACGGATTAGACGGCTTGCAGAGGAGTTGAGAGTTGTCGAGGCTGAAAGGAGGGTGAAGAGGAGAGAGATGAGGAGGCTAGGGGAGATGGTTGATGAGTTATTGGGTGCCGTGGAAGGGAGGGGGTGAATGGGAAACGTTGAGCAAGGCGGATTTTAAGAAAGGGGTGGGGGGGGTTTGCTGTTACTTTTGGTTTTGGATCGGGGAATTTTATGGGGCGATTGTGGTGACTAGAGGGTTTGAATGGGTGGAGTCTTCTTTGTTTTCGGATCCTTGAGTTATATTTTACTATTTTCCCGCTATTTTACCATGCTATAGCTCTCTTTATGTTGCCTGATATACCCTTTGGTTAGCTGACGTTTTCCATATTGACAACTACCCTAAAATCAACCCCAAAATTACACACCACGTTTCATCTGTATGTTCAACAGATGGCAGCTGGCCTGTTCAGTCCTCTCATGTTTGTATCTGCTCAAAGGCCCAAGCTCTCTGCCCATTTATGGATAGATTCTTTATGCTGGCATGAAGTACGTGATATGGTTCACTCAGCAGCGGAGAAACTCCCTCATCACGATATTATGCGCTCAGAGATCAGAAATATTACTTTTCCCCAGATATATCTAGCTAATTTCTATGTCTTCAAGATTTATTTCCGCCCTTTTGGAAACAGAGCAGTCGGATTCGGTTATGAATTGAGAGATGAGGTGGGTGGGAAGAAGAGAGACGTAAGAGAAAACAGATTCAGGAGAAAACACAAGGATATCAAAAATTCAAGAGCCATAGAATGAATAAAAGACGTGAGCACCATTTAGAAAAGCTAGCGTCATAACCCGCCGAAGAGAAGAAAAAGAAAGCGTGTTGCGTGCAAATAATCCCCCCAAAATTAAAGGTTTTGGACTATAAGAAATAAATGGCAAAAAAAAAAAAAAAAAAAGGTGAGAATATAATGGCGATCTTAAGTTTGAACCAGAGGGAGGAAAGATATGGAGAAGATATGCAAAATGCTTCAAACAGGAAGCAACCGACCAGCAGAGTTATTTTTTAGGGAGAAGGGGAATAGGAACTAAAATCCGATCAGCAACCGATGCCAGGCTAATTTTCAAGGATGTACCCGGACGAGAAAAGGAATTGGGAGGTCAATGCCAACGTACGCCACATACCGCCGTAGATAAGAGAATGATGTGAAAATCGTATTTCGTGTGAGGGAGGTTATGTTCAAAAGCGTGGGATGCCATGTTACGCAGGGAAGGCAGGGAAATAAGACGTGGGGAAATGCGGAAGTGTAGAAGGTTGCAATATGACCCCTATTCGCCTGGACCTCGTGTGATGTTGGCCGTAATACATCTACTAGAAAAAGTAAAAAAGAACGTTTGACAGGAAGCAAGGAAGATCTATGAAAGAGCAAGGATTTCACGTGAACAGGTTCCGATACTCTTTCATCCTCTCCAGTTGCAATTCTCTCCTATCCAACCTGCCCCGATTCAGACTCATATCAGCCATCTGCTGCTTCTTCCTCGCCAACTCCGCAATCTTCTCCTCAATGCTATCCTTCATGATGAACTGGATCGTAGTAACCTCCCGCGTCTGACCCAAGCGATGCACCCGGTCCACAGCCTGCGCAATCGCAGCCGGGTTGTACTGCGGCTCCATGATATAGGCTCTAGATCCTGAGGTCAGGTTCAGGCCGACGCCGCCGGCCCCGAGCGTGGCTAGGAGGATGGTAACGTTGTCGTCATCTCGGAATGCATCTAGGGCGGCATTGCGCTGTTTCAGAGACATAGTTCCGTCGAGCCGGGTGAAACTGGTTATTCCGTTGTCTTCCAGGGCGATTTGGATTAGGTCCAGATGCGATGTCCAAGAGGAAAAGACGATGCTTTTGATGGGAGCTTTTTCAGGGCTTTTCTTGCTTTCTTCGATGGTATCGAGGAGGTGTGAAATGAGTGCTTTCGTTTTGGTATGTGGTCCCTCATACTGGCCAAATTTCTTGGCTTGTTTGGGATTCTGCCGCGAGGAGAGTTGATATGCTTGGAATTTCTCAAAGCCTTGGCGTGTAATGGCCGAATATGTGACGGAAATCAATTCCTTGCAGAATGTACAGCTAAGCTGAGATCGTTTGCCGGCGCTTTCACCAAAAATTTGTTGAATGGGCGGGAAGCAGTCTGCACAAACAAGGTCATAACATGGTAACATGGCTGCAATAACTGGATCTTTATTGGACGGGCTTTCTTCTGGAGATTGGAGTGTGATGTTATTACCGCACTTTGCGCACACATCTGCGCCCGATTCTTTCATGAGGGCGAGCATTTCATATGCCTTCTTTTCTGTGGCACTTGAAGATTTCTCGTCGTCTGGCTTCTCTAAATCTAAATCGATAGCGTCATATGCACTTAAGCCTCTAAACCTATCACGATCTTGCTGATCGAGGAGTTCCTTCCCATGAGCACTGATTTGTCTCAGAACCATCATCGCCTTCAAAACTAAATGATACATCTTCCCCCGCATCTTTTCTTTGCTCTCTCCAGCAATAGCATTCATCATGACATTGGACTCCTTCCTGAAAAACTCATGTAGCATCTTTTCTTGCTGTGAGAAAGTTAAGGTGATTATCTTGTCGTGACGGGGTGGCAGATTGATACGATCCTTGATGCGACGGAGGGTGAACGAGTCAACCAACATACGAAGGTTCGGGATTGCCTTAGGATTTTCACTTTTAAAAGGGGCAATGATGTAAGTGGCAAACTGAGCCTTTTCAATATACGGATGAAGCCGTAGAAACCTGGTTACAGATGCTAGGTCCTCAAGTCTGTTCTGGATTGGCGTTCCAGTCACTGACCAGCGACGTTGGGCATCCAGAGCAAATATAGCCTGACTTTGACCAGCGCTTTGCTCCCTAATAGTGTGTGCTTCATCAAGAACAATACGGAACATGTTCATTCGAGTGAGTGGACTTGTTCCTCTTTTAGCGTTTTTGCCAGAGAGTTCGCTGAGTATTGTACTGTAGGTAGTGATGACCAGGTCGTACTTTGACAATTCAGCGGGATCCTCCGTTCTTGTCGGGCCATGGAATACATAGTATGAAAGGGCACCCGCTTCCAAATGTTCCTCGATTTGGCTTACCCAGTTTCCAACAGCACTCAAGGGGCAAACTAGA